CCGCCTGCCCTGGCCGGCTCTGGCCTCCGCTGAAGGCAACAAAGTTTCAATTATAGAAGATAAATAAATCCCAGATACCTGCTTCCAGCCAGCCTCCACTGGGAGCTTGGGTGGCTGGGGGCTGTGGAAAGCCCGCAAACAGCCATCAGCCCCTCACTCAGGCTGGCCAGGCATCCCAGGGGGGACCACCACCCTGAAGGAGCTGTGGACAGCCTGCAAACAACCATCAGCCCCTCACCCAGACTGGTCAGGCACCCCAGCAGGACCCCCCACCCTGAAGGGCTGTGGCCAGCCTGAAAACGGCCCTTAGCCCGTCACCCAGGCTGGCCAGGCACCCCAGTGGGGACCCCCACACTGAAGGGGCTGTGGCCAGCCTGAAAACAGCCCTCAGCCCCTCACCCAGGCTGGGCAGACACCCCAGCGGGACCCCCACCCTGATCCGGGACACCCTTCAGGGCAAACCAGCTGGCCCCCACCCGTGCACCAGGCGTCTATCCTCTATAATAAAAGGGTAATTTGCAAATTGACCCTAACAGCAGAACGACTGGGAATGACTGGTCACTATGACACACACTGACCACCAGGGGGCAGGCGCTCAATGCAGGAGATCCCCCCTAGTGGTCAGTGCGCTCTCACAGGGGGAGCTCTGCTCAGCCACAAGCCAGGCTGATGGCTGCCAGTACAGCACTGGTGGCAGGAGCCTCTCCCACCTCCTCAGCAGCGCTAAGGATGTCTGACTGCAGCTTAGGCCTGCTCCCTGCTGGCAAGTGGGCATCCCCCGAGGGCTCCCGGGCTGCCAGAGGGATGTCTGACTGCCAGCTTAGGCCCAATCCCCCGGGGAGCGGGCATAAGCCAGCAGGTGGTTATCCCCCAAGGGGTCCCAGACTGCGAGAGGGCACAGGCCGGGCTGAGGGGTTCCCCGCCCCGAGTGCACCAATTTTTGTGCACTGGGCCTCTAGTCTCTCTATATAAAAGGCTAATATGCAAAGTGTCCCCTTGGAAGTTCGACCAGGAGCCCGGGAGTTTGATTGCTCGCTATGATATACGCTGACCACCAGGGGGCGGCACAAAACAAAGGAAGGCCCCAGGCTACAGCCAGCAGCCAGGGAAGGAAGGCCTCAGCTGGCAGTCGGAAGAAAGGCCCTGATTGGCCCTGATCACCGGCCAGGCTAGGGACCCTACCCATGCACAAATGTCGTGAACCGGGCCTCTAGTTTTATATATATATATTTTATATGTTATAATCCCAACAATACAATTTTATAATGGTGGTTTTATGTGGCTGGCTTTTAAATCAGTCAAGAAAATGTTATTGATACTGTCTTCTATGTCTACCTATGTAATTATACTTACCATGCTCTTTATTTCTTCATGTAGATTTGGGTTTTCATCTGGTTTCAATTTCTCTTAGTCCTTTAGTATTTCCTGTAAGTAAAACTTGCTAGCAGCAAATTCTGCCAGTTTTGTATATCTAGGAATATTATTTCATCTTCATTGTTGAAGGGTAGTTTTGCTAGTTACAGATTTAGCCAGTTTTTATTCCTTTTAGCTTTTTAAGCATGTTATCCAAATATCTTTACCCTCCACTGGTGGTTATCTTTTATGTTTTTATTGATTTTTATTTTTAGAGAGTAAGGGAGACAGAGAGAGAAACATTGATTGGTTGCCTCATGCATACCCCCTACTGGGGATCGAGCCTAAAACCTGGGCATGTGTCCTGACTGGAAATCGAGCAGGCAACCATTTGGTGCATGGGACAGTGCTCAACCAACTGAGCCACACTGGCCAGGACCCCCACTGTTTTTAACGAGAAGTCAGTTGTTAATCTTATTGAGGTTCCCCTGTATGTAATAAGTTGTTTTTCTCTTGCTGCTTTCAAGATTCTCTTTTGCTTTTTAGCTTTCATTAGATTAACTATAATGTGTCTAGGTGTGGAACTCTTCGTGTTCACCTTTTAAACTTGATTGAATTCATTGGATATGTATGTTAGTTTTTCATCATGTTTAGGAAAATTTTGGCCATTATTCAAGTATTTTTAATCTCTTTCACTTTCTGGGACTCCCATTTACCTGTATGTTAGTATGTATGTTGGTGTCTCACAATCTGTGGTTCTGGGTGATGTCCGTTCCGTCTTTTAGTTGTATTTTTGAAGTGGTTGTTTGCGGCAGCAGTCTCCGGTGTTTACCTATGCCGCCATCTTGGTCTCTCTCCTACCTGTATGTTATATGTATGTTGGTGTCTCACAATTCTCTGTGGTTCTGTTCAGTGCTCTTAATTTTTTTCTTCAGATTGGATCATCTGTATTGATACATCTCAAAGTTTACTAATTCTGTCTTTTGCAAACTCAAGTCTGAGCCCTCTTTTTTAATTCACTTCAATTTTTGTACTTTCAACTTCAGAATTTTCATTTATTTATTGTTTATAATTTCTATGTTAATAATATTCTCTACTTAATGAACCATTGTCATACTGTCTATAATTTTTTTTTAATTTTTGTATTGAGGTGCCTACTTATTTTTTTGAAATAGTATGTGTAAGTGCATATAACATAAAATGTACCATCTTAACCTTTGTAAGTGTACAGCACAGTCGTGTTAGCTATATGCATGCTGGTTTTCAACAGCACCTAGAACATTTTAATCTGCCAAAACAGATTCTATAAACATTGAACAACTCCTCTTTACCCTCGCCCACCACTGGCAACCACCATTCTAATTGCTCTAAGTATTTGACTATTATAGATACCTCCTAGCAGTGGATTAATTAGTATTTGTTCATTTGTGGCTGGATTATGTCACTTAGCATAATGCTCTCCATGTTCATCCATGTTATAGCATTTAACAAGATTTTATTCTTTTTAAGGCTGAAAGATATTTCATTCTGTGGGTATAAATTATATATGTAATCTATATATAATCACTTTATTCACATGTTAATTGACATTTGGGGGTTTTCCACCCTTTGACTATTGTGAATAATGCTACAATGA